CCGACCGCTTCTCTAACGCACCTAGGCAGTGAAGCACAATGCGTTTGAATTGTTGAGTACTACACAGATGTGAAGCAGCTGTGCGTGTTGGTAAGTTGCATTAAAAACATATTTGTTTAAATGTCCTTTGCAGTTCACTGCCAGTCAGTTCAAAATAAATGGGGCTGCCTTAACCAGTTGACATCCGCGGTGTTAAACCCCCTTCCCATCCAGGCCATTTTTCAGTATTCAGCGCTGCGGTACTTTGACTGACATTTATTCCGTCATGCAGCGCTGTACTGAAATGAATTTTATAAATTTTTTTTATATTGGACAGAGTAAAGGAGGGTTATAACCCCTGTTGGCAATTTTTGCTACCTTTGCCCCATTGAGGATATTCCCCTCTACTTCCTATCCGATAGCCACAACAGGAAATGAGAGGAAATCCCTCCAAAGAGAAGGAAATCCCTGGTGGTCAGCAAGGTGACCCATTGGAAGATTACCCATCTATTCCTGTTGTGGTGACAACCCAACATTTGGGGTTTTCTTTCGCTTTCAGTTATAACAGTCGCCGGGACAAATAGAGGGGGTGACTCTTCCTAACAGGGACACAGACAGGAATGAAAACTTGAGAGGTGTTCTAATCCCTCTCCACTCTATACAAAACTAAAAAAAAAATGGCTTCAGTTTCCCTTTAACACAAGGCACCTTACTGCATTATATTATTGCAGCATCTAGTGTAACTAGGGCATAGGGCGGCGAGGGTGGGGTTAGGTAGGCTTCCTTGGAACTCCAGCTGTGATGAAACTACAAATGCAATCATGCTTTTGCCTTTGGGAGTCACGCCTGTGTCTGTCACTCTTACAATGCCTCATGGGACTTGTAGTTTCACAATAGCTGGGGTTCCAAGCTTGCCTACCCCTGGAATAAGGCCTCAATATGCAGAGTTGGGAGAGTCTTTGCTATGTTAGTAACACAAGATTGATACCATAACACCATAGCGAGCCCAAACCGCATTATGACACATACCAAGCAAATTTTATTGCACGTGTAAAAATGAACAGTTCACATTTTTATTTAAAAAGAGATATAAAAACACTTTGTATGGCACAAAACTGCTCTCGACAAGAGCTTCTTCAGAGGATCAGAGCACATTGTATTTGGAAGATCCTGAGATGACCAGAGGACCAGCACCAAGATCCATCCATGCATCCATCTCTAAACGGGTCACTGAATACATTTAGAGGGGAGCAATTGAATGGGGAAGGGGGAGAAGGAAGGACAATTGGTACAAAAATAAATTATTTACAATCCGTTCTTTTTTTTGTTTTAGCTTTTTAGCAATTTCCGTGTTTCGGCACTTCAGATGTTGAATATTCCTGCAAGAGAGAGAGACATAATAATTACGCGTGGCAACTCAAGCTTTTGTCCTATCATAATGCCAAGCTTAAAGTGTAACTATGGTCAAATAAAAAAATAAATATCTGGTGCAGTCTGTCAATAGGATTACCACAGCAGTCTTGTCCCGCCCACCCCCCTGTAAACTCCAAAGGAACACATTTAAAGCAGAGCTATGAGGTGAGTGAAAATCACTCAGCCTCATAGTTCTAGCCGACCTGTGACAATGAAACTGTCACACGCCGGCTCAATAGATCGGGAAGTGAGCGAACACATATCGTCGCTTGCTCACTTCTCGATCCTGTCCCTGCAGAGAGCCGTGACTCACTCACGGCTCTCCCTGCAGGGATTCCCCCCTCCCTTGTCTGATCCTCCAGCGCTGACTGGCGGAATGGGCGGGGGAGGGGGTGGACACAGTTGGCTCTGCCTCTAGATAGGCAGAGCCAGCTGTCAATCACGCAGCTGGGTGGATCTCGACAGTATTGTCGGGATCCGTCCCGGCTGCGGCGTCTCAGTATATCGCGAGCTGTAGCTCACAGTATGCTGAAGTTTGGGGCATGGGAGGACGCTAGTTTGTGTTCTCCCGTGACCCTGAGGAGAACTATGGGTGAAAAACACTGACCCCATAGTTCTCCTTTAAATGGTGCTAGGGTTTCTGTGCATCCAAATGCAGGAAAGTTTGTAAATAAGCTTAGCGACGCTGGTAAGGCAGCTCTCAAACAAAACAATGTTTACAAATAAATGGCGCCAAGCCAAAAGGTGAAAGAGTCCAAAAGTGCCGTTAGTTGTTCACAATTCAATTGAACAAAA